AGAATACCAGCACTCCAAATATTAATTGTTTTGAGGCTCAGAAACAGCATGCAAATCATCAAATAAAACATGTGATCTGCTAAACTGAACATAGCCTTGGATGATACTTGAATAAGGAGTTAATGGTATAATAGAAGTACAAGTTACCATTTGCTTTGGCGAAGGGATCCAGGGAAAACTTTCCCTCAAGACTTGCTAGGCCATCAGGGAGAAAGTGAAAGAAAAAGCAGGGAGCACCCTGACAGCTCTGTGATTTATGAATGTTTTACATGCATTTGCAGAGCTCGTTAAGGAGAAAAAATGAAAGAGGCTGAGCCTGCCAGTTTGGGCTGTGTTCTTGGTAATAAGGTAAAGACAATTAGTTTCAGTACTATCTGTATGATCATATGGTCAGCTCAGATTTTGTTTTATTTGTGGCCATTCTGTTGTCAGAAGGACACCTGCCAAACTGGCATTAAATTTCATGGCCATATGGAAGGTGATGTAATTTCACCTTTTCCAACTGTTTTGCAGAAATTTAAGATTGATTTAGCCTGGGATTTGGGGGATTGCTTGTTTGTTTGTTTGGGAGGGGTGCTTTTTGGCTTCAACCTCAGGATTTGAACAGCATGGGTAGAAATTGAAATCAATATGGTAGCACCTATTCCACTGAGGAAAAAGTAGCAAGTGCTTTAACCACTTCTATTCTTTGAAGAGGGTACTGAAAGGCTGACCGGGATATCTGCATTTGTGTTAATGAGACTGTTAGCTACAGTGAGTTTTTTGATATGAAGCCTTATTCTAGCTTAAAAGTTGATGATTCATGTTTTAAGCATGGAAGCAAAAAATAGAGCTGGCACATTGGATCTGAATACTGTGGGTACCATATCTTACATGGCTGTTTCAGCTCTACATTTTTAAATTAAGTAGTTCAGTAAATCAGAAGACAACTTCAAAAGTTTCTAAATAGGTCTTTTATGGAAAATAAAATGGATGTTCCATTTTAACTCATTTTGACCAAACCTAAGCAGATCTTTTCCCTTTTTTACAAACATTTACTTTCTAGTAGACAATAACCCACTGAAACTAATTCCTGTTCACATCTATGTTGAAACAGATGAGGTGCTGACAAATAGCTTGTGAGTTTACTTTTGGATCTCTAGCAGTGTGGAATCACCTAGATGCAGTTTAGATTTTGTAAATAATGTGGAAGCCACTGTAAATTTTCGTCTAACAATTGCCTTTTTCCCCCCATGATTAAATATGTTTCTATTCCAATGTCAGGACAATAAAAGATACAGAGCCAAGTTTGTTTGAAAAGATGCAAAGAGGTAGTCCCAGACAAATACTAGGTAATAGGATAACTGATATTTCAGAACAAAAGATAGAGATTTTACCCTCTTTCCTCTCCTTTTAATTTTGTTCTACAGATGGCAAAATTGCCCTGAAAATGTCACTGCACAAATAGAAAAGGCCAGTAATTTTTGAAAGTATTGTTCAGTATTTGCCAAGGAGAGCACAAGTTAGGGTGAATGGTTCAAACCACCTGTGATTAAAGATAGAGCCATACAACTGGAATAAGAGAAAAGAAAAGAGATGTTTTTAACTAATCCCAATGTACTATGGAATGGCAGAGCCATTGAATTAAATTCAGTGAGTGAGACTAGGTACAGTTTTGAAAGTCGGAACAGAGTGAAAGAAATGAAGTGAAAAATAAGTGGTATAACTCTTGCTTAACCTTTCTGAATAAAGGCAAAGTTCTCTGCTCAAGGTGCACAGAACACTTCTGTGCTCATGACACTGCGCGCAAAAAGCAGGTGCAGGAATAAGAACCAAGTTACAGCTCAGAGCAGTAAATAACTGAATGACTGAAAGATGAGAAATTTTTCAGACTCTGAGAAAGCTTTGCTAGCTGCTGTGTGGGATTAGAGAATTTTAATTACATCTATATTGGACAACGCTCTTGAGACTAATCATTATTCAACAGTGTCGGCAAAGTCCAATCAGATTTGGAAGAGTAAAGCTTCCAACATGAAAATTCCTGCCTCTGTGTTAAATTTGGAGGCCAGTGATGTAAACAAAATGGTGCATGCCAAAAGAGGATTGACAGAAGTGCATCAGCATTACGAAATGCATAGTGTTGAAAAAGACAGCGGTAGAAGGAACAGAGAGTTCTTTTTCTTCAGAGAAGTGCTCTGTACTATGATGGTTCTGTGTACAAGATTTTGCCCACTACTGTTTGGGTAATTTTTCAGGAAGGCAATGATGTAGAATTATCTATGTACTGTAAGAGATGGAGGGAGGAAAAGATGTGTCTCATGACAGAAATATCAACTGTCTAATGTTAGAAACCTTTATGTGGAAGTAACAAGTGTTAAACACAGACCTGTTATTAACTTAACATTTCATAATAGATTTGTCATGTGTTTTGGTCACTAAAACTGGGCTATATTCATGAACCAAGTAAAACAACTTAACAACACAAATGATATTTTTTAAGTCAAGTCACTACTTGGGAACCCATGGTAGATATCTGGTGAACACTGGGAACAACAGCTAAATACTTCAAAGCAAAGTGCATGTTACATATTATTGGTGTCATTTGACTAAAAAAAAAAAAATTTTAAGAAAGCCAAGCTGACAAAATCTGCATGAATGTCAAAGAGGTGAAAAATTTAATTTTGACCATTTGGTCTACACCAAATGGGCCTAGCAGGCTCATTGCAAGATAAAGAATGAGCTCCTTTTACCATATACTTAAATTCTGATCTTAAAGTAACCTTTGAAAGCAGTATTCTCCTTTGCCCATAGGAAAAAAAAAAAAAAGAAAGGATATACTATGCTTATTATGACCAGACAGCTTTACCACCACATGATAGATTTTTAAGATCTGAGAGTCACATATTCTTGAATTTTAATTTGTATTGATTGATGTGGAAGTACATCAGTGCTTGACAATGTAAATGTTTGAGAGTTTGTAAGTTATTCTTTTGAAGGGTCTGAGAATCCTCTACAGTTGGCATGATAAGAAGGAATAATGTGGGCAAGACAGAGCCATAAAATTCTAGATATACTGCAGAGGATTAGTCATTAACATGTGTTATAAAGACAATATCACTGAAACACCAAAATAGAGTCATGATCTGGGTACAGAAGAGCTGGTTAACTGATTTCCCTGTTCATTTTGCTTCAGATTGCCATTTGCTTTTGTACGGACCCTGTTATTCCGGCCTAGCATGCAAAGTTTTCATTCAGAGCATTCTCCTTTGTACAAATTAGGATTAGAGCTGTCACATAATGACTATTAGTAATATTCAAATACAACAAATATTCCAAATAGTGTGACTAAAGTTTACTCAGTTAAGAGTTATTTCTTTATGGATCTGTTTGCTGCTGCATACCTATTTCACCACTAAAGATCATCATAGGAATGAATTATTTTATTATGTGTGGAACTGTCAAAATAGTGACATTAGGATAACCTTTACAAGTCATTCCTACTTCTTTAAGTGCTTGCCAATTGCCATTCTACTAATTGCTGACCATTTTGTAATGAGAATTTACAAATTATGCAATGCCTTCATTCCTCTGCCTGTCATAATTCTGATGTTATCACCATAATGAATATTTTAGCTTTTTAAACTATGAAATAGGAATATTCAGAAATAATAAGGAATAAGTGCTATGTAGTAAAAATATGTGCATCTTGGTTTGATCTTACATTAGAATCATGTCCCTAAGATTGCACAAATGCCTAAAATTCAATGCGTATAAAAGTCTTTGTTTTTTGACATCTAAAGTAAGAAAATTTCTGATAGTAAAATTAGCTATCTGCTAATGAATTTATATAATGAAAACCCCTGTTCAGGAAGATCATTTATTCCTGTGGTAGAAAGAGTTGTGCTGCTCCTATGACTATGCTGAATACAGGTAAATAAATGGTAGCTGATAAATAAGTTAGAGTTTGATACATTAGTGTTTAAGCAGTTTTTGAAGTTACTTTAAAAAAAAATGCCAGGTGCAAATGAAAGTCAAGACAAGTCCATCTTCCTTGACTGATGAGAGCCATTTGAACGGAGAATGGTGAATAGTGCAGTGTATTGGGTTGACCCTGGCTGGATGTTCAGTGCCCACCAAAGCTGCTCTATCATTCCCCTCCTTAACTGGACAGGAGAGAAAAATATCAAAAAAGGCTCTTGGATTGAGATAAGGATGAGGAGATCGCTTGGCAATTACCAGTCCTAGCAAAAGAGACTGGACTTGGGGAAATTAAGTTAATTTATTATCGATCAAATGAGAATAGGATAATGAGAAATAAAACCAAATCTTAAAACACCTTTCCCTCCACCCCTCTTCTTCCCAGGCTTAACTTTACTCCCAAATGCTCTACCTCGACCTCTCTGAGTGGCACAGAGGGTACAGAATGGGGGTTGTGTTCAGTTCTTCAGATGCTCTCTCTGTTGCTCCTTCTTTCTCAGGGGGAAGACTCCTTGCACTCTTCCCTTGGTCAAGAGATAGTCATCTGTGAAGGTCTCAAGTGTGACTTGCTCTCATGGTCTGCAGCTCCTCATGAACTACTCCAGCATGGGTCCATTCTACTGGGAGCAGTCCTTCAGGATCACACTGCTCCAGTGTGTCTCCTCTGGTGCCACAAGTCCTGCCAGCAAACCTGCTGCAGTGTGGGTTTCTCTCCACATGGTCACAGGTCCTGCCAGGAGCCTACTGCAACACAGGATTCTCATGCAGTCACAGCCTCCTTTGGGCACATCCACCTGCTCTGGTGTGGATCTCTCCATGGGCTCCGAGTGGACATCTGCTCACCTCTTAACTTCTATGGGCTGCATGAGGACAGCCTGCTTCACCACGAGCTTCACCACAAGCTGGAGCTGAATCTCTGCTCTGAAGTCTGGAGCACCCTCTTCCCCTCCTTCTTCACTGACCTTAGTGTCTGCAGAGTTGTTTCTCTCACCTACTCTTACTCCTCTCTCTGACTGAAGTTGCTCTTGCACAGTACCTTTTCCTCATTCTTTCAGGCAGGTGTGCATATTCTTCTCTATCTGCAGAATGGTGGTTTCTTCCTCTACCTCAAAGCGTTCCACCTGGAGCTCTTTGCAGACGAAGTCAAGCTCCTTCCGACACACGGCGATGCTCCTCAAGAGACGCTTCTTCAGACCCTCCTCCTCGCTGATCATGTCATCCATGAGATCCTTGATGTGTTTCTTGACGGCACTGGTGCGCTCCAGGCGCTGCTCCTTGGGGATGCTGATCTCCTCCCAGATGTCCCGCAGTGCCGCCAGGTCTCGGTTTATGCACGACACGGCCTTGTCCGCCAGCACCTAGCTGAGAG